AATATCCATCAGTACTACCTATAATATCCATCAGTACTACCTATAATATCCATCAGTACTACCTATAATATCCATCAGTACTACCTATAATATCCATCAGTACTACCTATAATATCCATCAGTACTACCTATAATATCCATCAGTACTACCTATAATATCCATCAGTACTACCTATAATATCCATCAGTACTACCTATAATATCCATCAGTACTACCCGTTCATGTTTTTATACCATCCGCCTTTTCACTTCTGCTAAATATGGAGGTTAAAGAAAGAAGAATTGAGATAAATAAAAGTCTTAGGAAGTAAGAAGGCTGTAGTACCTAAATACAAATAACCTGTAATTATATTGCCATCTGTTCCACTCGTAAAATAATTGCGTAGTAGATGAACAAAAGAGTCGACAGGATATCCCGCTGAGCGCGCCTCTATACTAAATTGTGTTTTTCTTTTTTTTTTTTGCTGCATCAGAGATGGCACTTTTTGTGGTCACTACCTGTACCTGTAGGTAATACTAAATTTGTATATTTCTAGTAATACTGTATTTAAAAAATTGTTATTAGCTCCATTTCGTTTCTTCCATTAATTTCATTTTATAAGTGTGCACTCTTATCTCTTAGAAAAAGCCAAACAGTTTAATCATTTGCCTGGATTAGGTCGACAAAATAACCACTCATAATGTTAAAAATCAATTGCTGTTCCTTCGGGATTAATAAATCAATTCGAATTAAAGGATTATAAATTTCCATTTCAAATTTCTCTATGATGAACTAAAGCTGTGGTAGTCGAGGTTCAATCAGATTAGGAAATTCAAACTCGGTACTTTATAAAAATTTGTCTAAAGAGACAATTCCGAACTTTATTAACTGAAATCCAATCCAAATGGCCATAATGTCTTGAAAACTATAAAATCTGAATTTTGAAGGATTTTTCTTGAACATTTTATGATAAAGTTGTTCACAAATAATGTCAGTATTGTTTGCATAAATTTCTTTCCATTCCTATGTAAATCTGAAAAGCGGTACTGACACATTAAACCCAACAGAAAATGGTATCTGTAATCCGACAGTGACATTTCTAGGTATTACTCATCAATTTTTTCATGAAACCTTTTTTTCCAAGAAATCAGAGTTTCAATTCCTTATTTCGATTGCAACCTGAAATTTGTAAGTATTTCATAGATCCGCGACTGCTCATGCCTAATGTAATATGCATTAATGTAGTATGAAATAATGTGAATGGTCAAATGTATCACACTAAAAGTCTCTCTTGACCAGTTAACATTTGACATGTTCATTGTTTGTCTCCCCATGAGATGCACTGCACCAAATGGGATTAATTGAAGAAATTAGTCCCTGTCCCATCTTATCCTACCTATCTTATCTTGGCCAATAGCAGTTACAGAACATTTTGCTCTATAGTTACTACAACCGCAAATAATAATAATCTATGACTTCCTTCGGGAATCTCGCAAAAAAATCAGGCATTGTTCAGGATTTCTATACATTAATTACCTCGGCATTTGTTAATTGCCACTTCTGCATAAACTATCTACTTTTTTGGTATCATTTCCGCTTATTTGCAACAACTAAAATTCGAATATTTCAAAACACCATTGTCAATAAAACGTGTTTCAGAAGTTGAATGCTTTCTTATATGAATCTTCTTTTTTTTCTCTCTCTCTCTCTCTCTCAAACCTTATTATCGCAATCTTGGCAAACTTTCTTCATTCCACAACAACAGGCTCATTTGTCTATTTTAAGTGTTATCACAAAGTTCCCATCCACTAAAAGGTATGCGTATTGGAATATTCAAAATGTGGAAAACCTTTCAACTATTAAATCCTAATATAATCCACAGTACATTAATTTTAACTTCCATATTTCAATTTAATCATTGCACTCATTACATTTTTATACCAATATTTCAGTGTTATTTAGTCTGCACTAATCAATCTTGCAGTTCCCGCTTTTGCCTTATCAAAAAAAAATAATAGCAACAAATCAGATTGCATAGGGCTGGCCGATTTGTCTATTCGTTCTCAGTTATACGTTTTTTGGTCCAATGTCGATTAGTAGAAAGGATGTCATCATTTTTCACCGAAAGCTTCATCTCTTAAAGATAGAGGGACGGAAAAAAGTTCAAATTACACCTCTCTAAAAACATATTAAAATGATATCAACCTTTGATGAAGAGAGCACCACAACAATAATGTAATGATTATTTGATTCCATTTTAATTTAAAATTTATTTTTTCAATCCGGTGATTTTGAATATTTTTTTGTTGTTGCATGTTGAACAAATGCTAGGGATGATCGTAATTGAAATTTCATTTCAGTGCTCTCTCAGAGTATGATGATGAGTGTGGAAGTGCTACACAGGAATGAGACAGTTGGTGCTGGTAACAAATGCGCTTAACTGAGTCTAAAAGGCATTTTAACCAATTATTCTGACAGGTCGAGGAAAATTTTGATTGATGATTCACATAAAATTTGGCATTTCCCGCAAAATTTCATCCTCGGGAATCTAACTCTCAGCCGCCAACATTACCCAAACAAAATCATTGTTTCACTCCGCTCATCATTACACTGCCGTTAAAGCCTCCTCAAATGCTGTCATTAATTTTAAAAAAAACTCATAACTACACAATCTGATTCCTGATGACTTGAAATATCTGATCTCAGATTAAATCCATGTGATTTTGAGAAGCATTTTGTGTTAACCAAATGAAAAATTAATTACATCAATCAATCAATCAACTAAAATAATATCGATATCTAGCATTAAGAAGGAATAGCTAATAGGGCGGAATTGCTTCCTAATTATGGGAAAAAAAAGTGCCAACAGAGAAAAATGATGAAACTAAACCGAAATCCTCGAAAAATTCTATTGTGATCAGTAAAGCATTATTAAAGCTGAAGCCTTCATGTGAATAAAAGCTTTTCAAATATTAAAATTATTACAATTAATTTAGCAAAAAAAAAAAGAAACAAACGAGGAACTTAAAGTAAACAGTGCAACAATTATACCAACGAAACTTTTTGATGAGCGTTGTGAAAGAAAAAGTTCGGAATAAAAAGCGAAACCATAACTGAGCGTCACGATGAAATACTCTATTTAAAATAAGTGATGTTAAAATTACCCTTGAAATTACTACGCTGACAAGGTTGAATTTCAAAAGATTTTAGAGTAAAATGTTAAAGCAATTATGAAATGAACCGAATGGGTTCGTTTCTTCCTCAGTTACCAGTCTAAAAATTCATTAAAATGCACCAACCTTTTTTGCTTATCGGTTTCAGAGCCATTTTGTCTAATTTAATAGGCATTTTTTTAAGATTATCATCGAATAAGCTAAGAATATCCATTAGGTAAGCATCTTTTCGTGATGCAACACTCTCGTCAAACTGGGTCACTTAACAGCATAAGTAAACGATCAACGATAGGATTTTATCTGCTCGGTACTTACTATAACATTTCTGAGTGAATCTGAAAAAATGAAATTTCAAATTAGATGGAACAATCTTCCACATAACAATTTGTCAACATCCAATGGTAATAATTTACGCGGTATTTGTACAACAAAGGAAAGATGGGGTGGTAAATGGAGAGTGACCGGATAAATGGATAGCAAATGGACAATGATAAATGAACAGTAAATGGACAGGAACAAGTATCGGCTTGTTTTTCTTGACCATTTTGGATTATTTAATCATTTAATAGAAAATGCATGCGCAAATGATAGCAAACATCATTTAATCTTCACCTCGCGCCCTAGTTGTTTCGATTTATGTTCTTGAAGTCACTTTTATCAAGTTTCTAATTAAGCACAACAGGTATTTAAACACGTACTACATATATATAAGATCTACGTTTAGTTGATAAGTGATTAACCATAATCAGTTAACGTTGTAAACTTCTTCCGGAACGTTCCAATGAAGGATGATTGGATGATAATGCTTATCCTAGCTTTCTCGTTCTTACTTCACCTCTTGACTAATATTCGTTAATTAATTCAATAGGCTACTGCCATCTGATAATACTTTATTACTTCATTATTTAATTAGCAGAAGGTGGAAATAACATTAAATGCATGTATTCATAAATTTCGATTTCAAATTCAAAGTAGAGAATGAAAATGACATGGATTGATTCACTAGCAGTAGGACATTGACAGAGATGCAGTGTTCATAATAATCAATTTCTTTCCAAGAAATCTCGATATAACCTTTCGGTATGGCTACATTTATTGTATATATACATATAAATAATACAAAAGATGAAAGGGACGGATGTTAGGAGAATTAATAGCGATGTCATCATTAATTTACTATTAGCAGAGGCAGTTCATAAATCTAAATGACGACTGGATCCCTCGGGGTAATAAATCAAAATGATAGAGTGGGGTAAGGAAGGGCGGGTTCGGTCTAAGGCTCACTCCTTCATCGACGTTGAAGTATTTGTGAAGAGATATGACAATACAATACATAGCGCGGATGAATGCAGGAAGAAGGTGGCCCTTTGCGCTGGGCAGTGAGATGGGCGTCTTCGTCCCTGAAATCTTAGCTCTCTTTCCCTCTCTTTATTTTCTTCACTCCTTTCTTAACATTGAGGGGGATGACTACGATGACAATGTTGATAATAATAATGATGATAATTACGATGAGGAAATGGAGTAGGGAGATGATGATTATGATGATGAGGAGGTTAAGGAGGAAAATGATGGGGGGAAGGAGAAGGATAATGATGCTAATAATAAGAAGAAACCGAAGGAAAATAGATGATGGTAATCATGAGAAGGAAAGAAAATAATGGGATGATGATAATGATGAGTATAGTGATGATAATGATGATGATTAAGATAATAAAAAGGGAGATAGTGATAACAATAAGTGCCAGTACTAGACGAGATTCTAAGGAGACTCTCATATCATTTACCTCCTCTTTTTTACCTTTAAACTTATGGTGATATAAAATGAGATTAGAGTGGACAGGCAAATCCTGATAATGATGCGCAAAGAACCGAAGGAGAAACGAAGGTATCTGGTCAGGAAGAGGTGTCATTCACTGCTATCATCCATGTATTGTTCTTTCTTTCGTTCCTTAAATTCAATATTTTTTCTAACTTGATATCAGAGGGTGACATTCATCAATCACGAAAGAAATTGAATCTTCATCATTACAAAAACAAATTCCGATATGTCAGAATATCCATGGAGCAAAGAAGCACATGTGTATCCACTACCTACAGTATCAGTGGTTATTGCGGTACTTCATACTGTAAACAGAACTTTCAGTTGTCACTATCATTCTTTCATTCCACAGTTTTTCGGTTTTCAGATCCTCAAATTTGATAACTGCAATTTTGTCCTTTTACGCATTGAAGAGTGCTTAGAAAAGGATATATATCACGAATGGAGAACGGTGGTGTGTCAAGACTGTCATGTGTCATCTGTCATGTGCAATGTGGTGTGATGTGTCAAGACTTTCGTCTGAAATGAAAGTTGTAAAAGTGCTTGGAAGGTTCATTTAAAGTCAAAAATTCTTGTCCTGTGAAATGACCTTTCATAATTATTATTTAAGATGAACTGAAGATGAAATCAGATATGTCTATAGTATCACTTTCCGAAAAATTCCGGAGGTTTTCCTAAAATTTATTAAACGGTATGAAAGGAAGATAGAGGGTCACAATGTGTGGAGTACTGTTTCTTATCTAATGGTGTAAACATCCAAAGATAGAGGAAAATTTACGGGGTGCCTGCCGGTTGCTGGTTGCAAGAAATCAATAGGCTGTATGGTGATGTCGAGTTGAATTGCGAAAACGAAGATTTGTAGTGACAAGATTGACATCACTGATATGTCTTTCCCCACCCCAGAACCCCTTGATATTTCCATTGTCATCATGCCCTTTCCAATACCCCGCTTAGCTGAACCTGAATTTTCACTGTCATTCCCATTTCTCATTGGGAAAGATCAACAGGGTATGTTTTTAACTGATTTGTTACATTACTGCAATAACTTACTATGTAAGATCGTAACACATCGCAACAATTAAAACGTCTAAGACGCCTTCCTTTCATTCTCAAGATCGGCAAATTAGCGGCACATGTCACATCATGCTCGATATATCACGCATGAATTTGTGCTAAATCGAAAATATTTCAGCTCTCAACTGAAGACTAAAAGTATTTTAAGAATTTCTAAAAGTTTTTAAATTTAAAATCTAAGTCTTATATTCTAACTTCCGGATACGATGTTTCTCCAGGTAATTATTTGAACTTCATGTTAATGAGAATCAACAGCATCATGCACACGAATCGTATAAGCAGTAAATTTGCGCACTTCTTACCTCGTTCATATAGAATACAAAAGAATATCTATTAGCACAAGAAACATAAGAGTGCATATTGGGGAAAGATGCTCAAATGGTATTATAAACAAAATGGATGTCGTCAGTTTACTAAGCCGTAAACAGTTTTATACAGTTACGTAACTTCCAATATACTGTTTTTATGGTCCAATGGTATGTAATCGACACCATTATCAATAATAAGTATCACGATATAGCCAACCATGAGGTCTCGTCCTACAGAAGTATTTACGTATTTCGTCATAAACAAATATCAGCCATGCAAATGATACTGGGATCATTGCCCAGGAAAGCCTGCAATAATTTGGTCGAATCATACTTATCCAGATTTTCTGCTTAGTTTTATCTTTTTCGTGCATCAGCTGAATTTATTCAAGCTATAAGCTTACTGGGCATTGGTACTTCACAAATTGGTCACTCCTCTAATAGTTATTTCTAATACAGCAAAGTTTTTTCATTCTGTTTACAACAATGACTGTGTAAGCAGGGATGCTTATTCCAAATTTTCAAGCATGAATGACAATCTTCTAGAAGTAATATACCTGATAGGTGTCAACCCAAATACTTTGTTTACGTAAGGTGTGAAAAGAAGGAATGTGCTGAGCGCTGCAGTAAATATTAAGCCCATATTCAGAATCCAGTTACTGGAATTAAAAAAAATGACTTAGATTTTTGATAAAAATTATTAAATTCCTAAAGCATCAAAAATGAAAACCGAATTCGTATTTAAAGTGAGTTTTTAAACAGTTTCATACAAGTAAATCACTTTGATTTCTTCCAAAGAAAAGTTAGAAATAAAATAGTTCATTCTAACGGGAAGCACATACTCTTGAGAGAAATAATTTATGTCAAAGTAAAATAAACGAAATAAAGAAATTACCTCATTCCTTGCTGTACAATAGAATTGTAACGAGTTTTTGATATTAGCAGGTCGGCCCACTGTACGACAACAATTGCATAAAAAAAAGCACCGTGACAGCAGCGCTCCAGATCTTTCCGTGCCATGTAAGTCTATAAAAAAATACTTAATTAAAGAAAAAAGCTTTTTGACAATCAGTAACTTCTGCACGGTTTTTTATAATTCGACAGTTCGTTCAAAAATCCTTATTTAATGCATAGATACAACAGGACCCATTGCTGTCCGTAACTATCTTCCAGATCGTCCACCATTGGGTCATCCCATTCGTCGCGAACCCAAAGTAATCGATGAATATGAAATCCATTTTCTGCCATTATGATGAAATAAGTCATAAAACCAGCCGCTGCTTGCATAATGCCAATTTGTAGGTATGAAAAATTCATTAATCTGCAAAAATCCGAAAATTTGTTACAATTTCAAGCTAATTTTATTTTAAGTTACAAATAATTTCATTTCACTTCATGAAAATCCGAAGATAACATCTGAACATAACTTTCAAGACCTGGCATTAACAAGCTTGTCAACTCTGGCGTTTCTCGGCGGTCTCTTCATAATATTCGTTTCAGCTTCCTCGTAAGCAATGGATATAGCTGGCCACTGCAAACAAAACACTCAAACATCGAATTTCTTGAAAACTGACCTCAATCATAATGAGCAACAAGACAATATTTTTAGTATTCGAAATTTTTACTGTTTGACCTTCCAAATGCAATGATGGATTTCTCAAGAATCGAATAAAGAAGCTAGAATAATAAGTTAAGGTTACTTGAAGACTAGAGACTATAGTGAATTTTGAATGGAACAAATTTTGAAAATAAATTTTGGAAGAAATATCTAACCAAATCTGTTCCTAAATCGATACACAAAATAGCGACAACACTCATCGGAAGTGGTATACCAAACAGGATGTAAGATAGAAAGGGAGTAATTTCTGGAATATTTGAAGTAAGCGTATAAGCTATCGACTTTTTCAAGTTGTCGAAAATGATTCGACCTTCTTCCACTCCTGTAACAATGGACGCGAAATTATCATCCAACAAGATCATGTCAGCTGCTTCCTTAGAAACATCCGTACCAGCAATTCCCATTGCTATACCTGCAAAATTATATGAATTATTTTTCTTGTTTATATTCTAGTCCTTTTGCTTATATAGCCATCGCATTAATTCAAATTATATTTAGAAAATGTGATGTGAGCAAATAGTCAAAAAATATCATACCAATATCAGCTTTTCGAAGCGCTGGAGCATCATTAACGCCATCTCCAGTGACAGCCACGATATGCCCCGCATTCTGGAAAGCTTCCACGATTTGTAATTTTTGAATTGGAGATGTTCGAGCGAAAACAATCTGTAATATGGGAACGAAGGACTGGTTGACTATTTAGTTTATTCATTTATTAATTATAATTTCTAGCCACTTAACAAATGGGCCGGCAAACAAAGAAATAGATAAAATAAAAATTGGATTCAACTAACTTACAGGTATAAAAAATTATTCTCAAAAATTTGTCATCAAAAGTGTAATTCAACGTACGCATGAGTAGTGCTTTACTATAAAGCCTAAATCTTTATCTGATAATTTCTTGAGCTGTTCGCCATGTACAATCATTGCCTGGCTTCTGTAATTGTTAAGCCATCTTCAAGCAAACCATGAGCTCGGAAGTGAATTCAAAAGTTTCAAATTAGTCTCAAATTAAATTAACCTTAAATTCTGTTAAATCAATATGGTCTCTTTTCTAGACTAATTTGAAATGGCAAATAGTTCAGTGTCAAAAAAGCAATGCTACGTAGAAACGAACTGGTTCCTATTGCCGTTACCCATTATTTTTTCTCGTTTCAGCTTATCATCGTCATTTATTATCTTTAATATCATGCTTCCTTCCTTAATAATGTTGACCTGCCTAGCAATTGCTTCAGCTGTCAACGGATGATCACCAGTTACCATCACTATCTGAAATTGGTGCATAATCACAGAATTTCTGATAAACTGGAACGAAATGCAACATTTGCCAAAGGATCAAGGTTTTAGAACATTTAACATTTAACATTACTACTTTCCAGGGATATAATGTCTAAAGAAGAATTATATTTTTAATAAGGTCAAAGTTGAGTCAAAGAAAGAAGACTGATCGAGCAGTAAACGGCGAGATACTAGATAAACAAGTCAATGAATAAGTTATAATATAAGAGTAGAAGGTAAGGTAAAGAGAAGATTTAAATTGCTTGTAATGTGAAAAATATTTTTGAAATGTATACTTTGATTCCAGCTGATTGACAAAGATCAACGGCATGAGGTACAGCCGGTCGTGGCGGATCGATCATTGAGATGAATCCTAGAAATCGTAAACCTTCCAGAGGGAAATTTAGTGGATCGATGCAAAATACGAAATTTTTTGGATACTTCTCTGGGTCGAGCTCCAAGTCGCAAAATCCCATTACTCGTTCACCTAATCTACCAAGGTACTCGTAAGCCTGTAATAGTGAAGAAACTGCGAAAGACTGTGATACTGTAATAATTTAATTGTCGTTCAACGATTTGGATGGAATTTTTAGCAAACTTTGAGGATTGCAAAGTTTGGAAAAGTTAAACAAAAAAAGTAAAGAAGTTGCAAAGTTTAGTTTAAGAGAAGTTTTACATTTTGAAGAATCTGCAAGTCTTCTTTTATCAAATTCTTCTCTCCGCTATCTTGAAGGTATGTTTTACATCGAGCAATGATTTGTTCTGGCGCCCCTTTCATGACTAAAATGAAACGACCATCAGATTCTTGCTCATGTATCGATACCTTAAAAAGATTGCATTGTTGTATCTTATCAGTACCAGTAAGTCTACTGCTTTATGCAAAAAATGTTTCTACTTTGCAGATAACTCAAAAATTCGGAAAAATTCTAATAATTCTGAATATGCGGCACCTGGAATTTGTTAGTTGAATTGAAGGGAATTTCACAAATTTTAGGATACAGTTTTCGATAGGCTGTCACATTACCACAAGTGTATTCGCAGTATTTCAAGATAGCAACTTCCGATGCATCGCCATTCGCGTCACGTTTCCATAATTTGACTTTCCGGTTCTCATCCTGCCATGGGAATGGGAAGTTGATGGAGAAAGAGGCAATTTAACTTGTTATTCTTCATAATCCACTCTTGGAATTTAAATAAAATGTAGCCTTGAAGAATATGTGCTCGAAGTTTATGTGCTCGAACTGTGAAATATGCAGAAGAGAAGTTCTTTTTTTTTTCACAACAGTGCCACTTAATCTTTGAAACAACTTAAAGTTAATTAAAAATTGGTCTTCATTAAAAAAAAAAGGTTATATTTTACCTCTAGGATAGCTTATTCCTTTCCTAACCATAAGAAATGTCTCAACTTCTTGTTTGCAACATGACTTAGAATGGAATAAACCTTGAATGTAGCATTAGAACACAATGCTGCACATCGCAAGAAAGCATTAAAGACTCCAACGAAGCCATCGAAATTCAATTCTTTTGGATTATTGCTGTCAAGTATGGCTTCATGGAAATTTACTTCATAAATATTACCATTGGACCTATAATTAAACTATTGTACAAAGGAATAGTTAGGAAGAATGTTGTGGAAATAATCTTAGAAAAATCTTTATTTATCGTTGTTAATCAATAATGGTGAGAAGTTAGTAGCACAAACCATGTATGGGTGACAGTCATTCGATTCTGCGTTAATGTACCGGTTTTATCTGAGCAGATAGTAGACGTTGAACCGAGAGTTTCTACTCCTTCTAGTTTCTTCACAAGACAATTCTTTCCTCTCATCTTAATTGCCGTCAAAGTTAAGCAGACCTGAAATTATGAAGCTACATCATAAGACTATACGTTTGCGGTCCACGATTTCCCGGGCAATCATGAAACAGTGGATAGTCAGATTTCTATTCAGAATAAATGATCACTGCAGTTTTGTTAATTAGTACCCGTTCATTTCTTTTTCATTTTAATCACTGAATTCCAATTTCGATTATAAATTAAAATGTACCGTCATAGTAGCGGTGATGCCTTCAGGAACATTAGCCACAATGATACCAATAAGGAAGATCAAGGCTTCCACAAACGTATATCCGTAAATTATACTAACTGAAAATTTTAAGGAGAAAAAATAACTTAAATTTGACTTTTATTATAAAAATTTCTTACTTCTTTTAATCTTTTTGAAGGATTCTTAGAATGAAAGAAAACAGATATACTTATCATTGTAGTTATTATAATTACTTATTATATTATACTTTTATAACTACTTATTATGACTTACTTATTATAAATGCAAGTCAGCTGAAAATGATAAATTGACGAGTCATGGTATTAAATGATCAAATTTTTAGCTTACTTAAAAAAAATGATATGCCGATGGTCGCGGCAACAATGCCAATGATGGTAATGAAGTGGTCAATTTCTCGAGCAATCGGTGTTTTTCCGGAATCAACTCGTGACGTCAGGTAAGCTATTCGTCCCATTATCTAACAAGTTTGTAAAATTATTACTTGCCGCTCGTTTCATACCTATTCATGGTTTCATTAGAATGCTTTTGACCCCGAGGATGAACTCTTGCCTTTCCTAGTAGCTTAGTTTAGTTGAAGCATACATGAAATGATAAGGTTTCTTTGTCAGATACCAAATACAACTCTCAAGTTGTGCTCTACTCTAGCAAGAAACTCTACAAAGATAAGTTCCTGAAGAAATGCATTCCTGAAGCTACTGGAACGGTGCTTGCAGCCTCATTTACTTCCACGTCACGATAAAAGCAGATTTTTTCGTCGTTTAGAATTGTCATAAATACTCTATGATGATTAGTTACAAGCTGAACCGTTCTGTCGCCGGTGAGCACCACGATTCCCTTGCATGTTCCTTCTACAGCACCGGTCCCGAAAAGTACCAGATTACTGGTTTCCAATGGATTCACGTGGGTGCACTCGGGACTACGATTCTGTGGTTCACTTTCGCCAGTTAATGTTGAACAATCTACCTAAAAATATACAGCAAATGAATGTATTGGAATGAATGAAAAATGAACAGAACTTAATATTTGATCAAGTCAGGTTTACAGAGAAGATGTTGATTTCAGGGAAATGCGATGAACCTTGAAACCAGAACTGGTGATAACGCGAACATCTGCTGGAATGCGATCACCAGCCTTTATATGTACAATATCACCTGGTACGATCAATGTAGCATCCATTCTCTTCAGCTGGCCATCTCTCAACACCTAAGTTGTTTATATCAGTAGAATATCAGCTATGAATATTGTCATATCAATAATATTAGCTCTCATATAATTGTACCATGGTAGTAGGAGGTGCCAATCTTGCGAAACTTTCCATGATTTTAGAGCTTTTATATTCTTGATAGTATGCAAAAAATCCGGTGACCACGACAACAATCGCAAGAACGATACCCATATAGAGCTGTAAAGAAATTTATATCACAATCTTCCCACTTATTCCATAAATTTTCCTTGAAAGGCGATGAAATCGATGTATAACTAACATTATCTAGCTTGACATCAGCGCTCTGCCGACTTTCGATGATGTAGCTTGTAACGGATGCAAGCGATCCGAGCCACAAAAGAAAATTAAATCCACCGAATAAACATTTCAGTGCCGCCACAATCTCTGATCTTTTCCTTGGTGGTGTCAACATATTTAAACCATACTCTTTCAGTAACTGGTTCACTTTCTCTTCCGAATGTCCCTGCGGTATTTCTTAAAATTACTTTAAGATCTTATTCTTCAAGTTGCCAACTTATAAAAAATAAATGCGATTTGCTTGCAGCAATGACGAGCTATATTTAAGTGATTTTAAGTGAATTTTAGAGAATTCAGTTGTGAATTCATTAGTTCTCAACCGATGCTTAGTGAGATCTTCCACTTCCTTGTTTCACCTGTTTCATACTAGCCTCTGCTATCAGTTTTCGGTGATTACTGCCAGATGCAGTGGTCACTCTATTTCTTCAACTGATTATACTTCTTCCTAATAAAATCGAAATTTGCACATTGTACAAAATTTTTATTTAGAATGGATAATGTATTTGCACTTTATATTTCAAGCTATTTTATAGTTTCGCATACGAAGCAAAATTTAGTTAAAAAAGTACCTATCAAATTAGCAATTGTTTCACCTGTAAGATAGTGCTTAGTTTTTTGTGTATTAACCACAAATAATAATTTGCAAAAATTGTTACAATATTATTATACACACCGTATTTATATCTGCTTTCAACTCAGCACAAAGTTTGTCGATTGGAATTTGATGCTCTTTCTGAAATTAATTTTATGATCAATGATAGTTAAAAATTGGAAAGTAAAATATGTTTGGATGATTTTTAGCAAATTTTTTATTTGAAAATCATTCAAGCAAATTGATAATAAATTTCAGTTTGCGTTACTATTATTTATTGAGCACATATTAAAACTGCTATGTCATTCACCATTTCAACTTCTTTCTTCATCGATTGTAGTGACACTTTATTTTTTCTTTACCCATTCCGATTCTGGATTCTGCCAAGAAGTAGCACTGCAGTTTCAACAACTGTCATGTTTTTTCTGAAACGGTATTATTTCTAGGGAAGGAAATTCAACTGAAATTTACATATGGCGAAAAATTAGTAAAGTACAATGGAGCGAAATGTTATGTTGTGAGCTCACAGGTTGCGCCACATTTTTATATGTACAAGCTTGAAGTTTTAGTCCGGAATTTTCCAAGAATTCGTTGGAAAGTAGTCATGTGGCCGCTTCGTTTTGCTTCTTCTTAAATCAAGAATTGAGTTAATCGATAGTTTCCTTTTGTATTAAAGTTTGAAATTTAAGATATGTGAAACTTTTGGAAGAACTTTTTCAGTCGATGAATTAATCAATCAGCTTTTCAGATATATGACGGGCCAAAAACTGGCATTTTTATTGATCTGGAGTGCAAATTACATCAATTTATACAAACAAATGATTCAGTTCTTCAAACATGGACTTCTAAAAATCAGACAATAAGATATTTGACGGGTTCGACTGAAAACGAAAGCTGTTTAGTTTTCAAATGGTTTTCCGGCTTTAATTCTCTTCATGAATACAATAATTTTGTACATGGCACTGCATCGTAGTTATGAGAACTTCTATTTAAATCTTCAAATTCTGTAATTAAATTTGAATTATGGGACTTCACAGGATTTTGAATAGACGTATTCTTTATGATATGAAATGTAACTTTTTTACTTCGTGCATGCCAGGGTTTGTTAAGCGCCTACGAAGTCACAACTAATTTTAAGTTTGAAATATGTGTGATAACTCATTATGGTTGTTTACTACCTCTTGATGAGGAATAGTATAGATTGAGTACTGGAGGTACTTATTCTAGGAGATGGCATCTAAACTTGGACATTAAAGATATTGCCACCCTTATATTTAGAATTGCTAATCCAACAATGCCTGTCTGAACTGTTTGATAGATGGAATAATAGTTATGGTAACAATCCTATGGTGCTTCGTTCTTTTCCCACTTGATTTAAACATTACATTTCACGTCACTTTGTTGACAAAGAAAATTTTGAAAAAGTTTATACTTTTATGATCGAAATAAACTCGATCAGTCTTTCGGCATGTCATTAATATTTCCCATTGAATATTTCACTGATATCCTAAAAATGTTTGGTGACAAATCCATTTAGGAACAGAAAGGAAATGAAATATATAAGCTAAAAAGAAACCTATTCATGGTTGTTTTTTCCACTTGTATTTTGAAAATCCTGGAAGTAACCGATAAACTCCTAATGGCGACATTAATGCCATAAGTTGAAATCATGAATAAGAGAAGAATACTTAATATTAAACTTCCTTAAAATACCATCGTTAATTTGTAGCAAAAAATTTAAAAGAATGAACCAGTAAATTAAGGCGGCGAAAGGAGCGGAAATCAGATCAACAAGAAAAGGTATATAGATGAATCGCCACTCATCACATACGGACAAAAATATATATGAGGTAGAAGTCAAGCCAATGGTCCTCGCCAAATTTGCTGTTTGACCGATAGTGGAATATCCAACAAAAGTAATAATGGCCTAAAATTTCAGCTCTTTTCTCCAGACATCAATTCTCATTTGTTTAGTAGCTGCAGTATCATGACTTTCAGCTGTTTAAAATTAGTTTACAAATTAAATTCATGAAAGAATTCAAACATTAAAACAACTGTACCCGTGTTGCAGATACGATCGCAGCACATAAGGCACCATTCCTACCACGACTGATGATACCTGTGAATAGGTAAGCACAGCAAACTAGTATGCTCAGTGTTAATTCTATGAAAAAATGCTGCAAACATAAAATAGAATTTAATTAATCAATCTTTCCAGCAAATATCCCACTTATTTCATTAATTAATGCATGGGTTTTCAATCTCAGTGGCTTAATTTGTTTCGATATCATCTTAGTGGATAAGTCTCGATTTCTTCGAGTGACTTGCGAATTAGGATAATGTCAGTCTGGTATATATTATTCAAAAGTTTATTCTCCAATACTGATACTTTCCAAGCTTATAATTTGTCTTTTGCAGGTCTTATCAATTGGCAACACATTCTGCAACAAATATTTCACCTGCAAACGGTTTGGTGCATATATATCTGTTTTGGACCATCTTATAGCTGCATGCATTGCTACTGCAAATGCGCTTCTTTGTAGAACACACTGCGCATAAACAGCACCAAGAAATGCCCCCAAAAATTGCATAAATATCATGAAAAATCCAACTGCTAAGCGACATTTCCCAACAAATATTACTGACAGCGTTTGCGCTGAAAACTCGAAATAAACATTTTCATTTATTTAAGTTTCACGCTTTGTCAAAAATTTAAAAATAAACCTAGATTTATGAATTAAAGCAAATTTTTGAATTGAATATCGTACTCTTTCTTATCGATCATTGATCCACTCTACTTGCTCAGCTAAAAAAAGGAAATTACCTGGGTTGAAATGTGCGCCACTGAAGCGCCCCAAAATGCACATCAATGTGAATAAAGCAACACCGTCTAACAGTGACACCGCTAGTTGCGTATTAACTATATGCAAATATGGAAAAATGCCTAAAATTTTAGTTGAAACAGGAATTTCTGAGTTGTCTTCGGCAAAGTCAAACATTTTTCTAATATCTTTTCCTCAAAAAATTTGATTATTATTAAGCAATAAAACTTACCCAAAAAAGTAAACAGGAATGAGCCAATAAATTCAGCAATGACAGGTATGAAAAAGTTCGCTGGACTTGGTTCGTATTCATTTCTGAACAAAAGAAATAATGATTGGAATGTTTGGAAAACTTTATACATTTAAGTAAAATATCCCTTAAAAGTTTTCATCAGCTTCATTGCGGCCAAGTCAATGCCGCTAAAATAAATACTCTTTAAATTGATGGAAATGATATTAAAAATTACTAAAATCAGGGTACCTTGGGCTATGTTCATTCGTATTTTCTCTGTAAAACTCAAAGTATAATCGTTGAATGGTGGGTTGCATAGATTGAAATTATTTTATTGAAGCTCGAATTAGACTTAGGCGTTTCAGAGGACAATAGAAAAGTGAACAGTATAGGAGAATTTCGTAGTATATATTGCAGAAATCCACATAGTAATCACTATGGAAACGAGGTGGACCAGACAGTTTTCACTTTGCACATTATTGCAAATATGATTCTCTTGTCTCATTATCCACGTAAGTATTTATGTAACTAATTTTGTCCCATAAATATTAACACTACAAACAACAGCTGTACGAAATCTGTTCATGAACTAGCATTCCCCAGAAAAAATGTTAACATACGAAACTTTTTCTATGAGAAATGAGTTAGGTATTCTTCAATCTTCCAGTAATTCTGAAAAAAGTTATTAAATTAACTGCTAAATATACCATAATCTGAAAAGGCTTCAGTTACCATTTTGACAAATCTTCAAGTTTTACGTCAAGTCAAATCGAATTAAGTTTAAAAAATTAATATGAAGAGGATGGAAGTGAAAAACATTTGAAGTGCTTTTTTGGTTTCCGCATTACCATTACCATTTCCGCATTTTCCGCATTACCATTTCTTTGAAATGATAATTACTTGGAAGTATTTATTAGTATTGAAAGGAAAGATACACTAATTAAATAATTAATGACGATACCATATCTTATTTATTTCTTTTTATGTTTTACTCTTTCTTTTCTTTTCTTTGCCTTATTTTCTGTATCAATGTATAATCTATTAACAAATATTTCTGTTGAAATTATTTAACATTTGTTGCGGCAAAAGTTGAATTGTTGGGGACCAAAAAAAACGTAGATTTTTTAAAAATTCTTGTGAGTATTCCAAAGATTTCGTCAAATGTGAGCAATCTTTAAAAGAATATTAATTTTAGCGTTTGAAAATAGAAGCCAAGAACGAAATTTCCATCAGCTCATCAAAACAGTTGGGAATAGAAGAAAATTGACAGCAAAAACTATTCCCTCAAATTCAATGAAAAATCTCGTTAGACATTTAGTCAGGAACGCTCGCCACATGAACACATCTAACGATAACGAACTTTTTAAAGTGTAATAACAATATGACAAAGAAAATTTTTTTATCAAAAAAATTCTTTTCTTTAAAATGTCCCAGAACGTGTAATGAGAACAGCGGAGAAAGCTAAATGATTATAGCCAGTATTCCCTTACTACGCTGTATATCACACCAAAAAACCTGGAAAAACAAAGTAAACTTTATGCTTACAAGACTTTTGAATCGTTGTATGTCATTATTTATTGAATTCTTCCGGCACCGGTTCATGTCATCTGGTTCATAGTCCTCATAACTACATTTTACTGTTTTGTACCAATTTTCCTGGTATACAGTAGGGTGTTTATTCATGGATATTTCATAAACATTGTTGAAATAATAATGAAACCTTGGTTTATCCGTTAAATTTAGACTGCTTTTTATTTCGTTAACAGTCGTGATGCATCAGCAGACTGAGAATCAGAAAACTGAAAGAACCCGGTTGTTTATTTGATCTTAAAAAAAATTGCAAAACGAGATCTCTAGAATCACATCAAGTAATGGATTTATTATCCGTAAACATCAATAATCATTAAAAATCACCGTATTTACAGTAAGGTATATCAAGTACATCAAAAACTATCTTACAGTATTACAGAAAAAGTGGATCTTTTTTCTCTCTAATTATGAAACGGGTAAGTAAAATTGATAATCACGTAATTATAAAAATCTTATATATATATATATATATATATATATATATATATATATATATATATATATA